GGGAGTGAAGTGGAGTTGGGCAGAGGGGGGATTGGGGTACAGTAGAGGGGGACGGGGGTAGAAGAGAGGCCGGGAGTGAAGTGGAGTTGGGCAGAGGGGGGAATTGGGGTACAGTAGAGAGGGACGGGGGGTAGAAGCGGCCTGAAGGGTAATACAGAGGGATCAGAGGATAACAGAATGGAGCTTGGGGTACAAACACAGAGGGGGTTGGGGTATATTTAAGGGGGTTTCAGTACACACCGAAGGGCAAAGGGGTAATTGGGGTACAGTAAAGGGGCAGTGGGGTAGAATGGTGTATAGAGAACACTCGGGCCGTACAACGCTCTCACAATGTTGGAGGCATCAGGTGTTCAGTTTCGTCCCCGGACGCCCCCCCCCTCCTCGCTCTCAGGGACGGGGGAGGACGCAGGAAAAGCAGATGTTCCTCCGTCATTATTCCCTCTGCTGCGGGGGATTCTGGGAAATCATTTACTCACCACAACCCCGCTGGCTGCTCCTGATTGGCTGCCGGTGCTGTCTGGGGACTTCTGGGTAATTTCAGCCGTGTGATTCCCATGAATGTCGCTCACCAGAGACCTCAACTTACCGGCGGATCTGCAGAAGATACAATGTATGAGAGCGCGTACCCTGCCGCCACAATGTATACAGGACCACCTACCTGTACACAGGGCCACCTACCTGTACACAGGGCCACCTACCTGTACACAGGGCCACCTACCTGTACACAGGACCACCTACCTGTACACAGGGCAACCTACCTGTACACAGGGCCACCTACCTGTACACAGGACCACCTACCTGTACACAGGGCCACCTACCTGTACACAGGGCCACCTACCTGTACACAGGGCCACCTACCTGTACACAGGGCCACCTACCTGTACACAGGGCCACCTACCTGTACACAGGGCCACCTACCTGTACACAGGGCCACCTACCTGTACACAGGGCCACCTACCTGTACATAGGGCCACCTACCTGTACATAGGGCCACCTACCTGTACACAGGGCCACCTACCTGTACACAGGGCCACCTACCTGTACACAGGACCACCTACCTGTACACAGGACCACCTACCTGTACACAGGGCCACCTACCTGTACACAGGGCCACCTACCTGTAGACAGGACCACCTACTTGTACATAGGACTACCTACCTGTAACTACCTACCTGTACACAGGGCTACCTACCTGTACATAGGGCCACCTACCTGTACACAGGACCACCTACCTGTACACAGGGCCACCTACCTGTACACAGGACCACCTACCTGTACACAGGACCACCTACTTGTACATAGGACTACCTACCTGTAACTACCTACCTGTACATAGGGATACCTACCTGTCTATATGACCACCTACCTGTACACAGGGCCACTTACCTGTACACATGACCACCTACCTGTACACAGGGCCACCTACCTGTACATAGGGCCACCTACCTGTACACAGAGCCACCTACCTGTACATAGGGACACCTACCTGTACACAGGACTACCTACCTGTACACAGGGCCGCCTACCTGTACACAGGGCCACCTGTCTGTACATAGGGCCACCTGTCTGTACATAGGGCCACCTGTCTGTACACAGGGCCACCTGTCTGTACATAGGACCACCTGTCTGTACACAGGGCCACCTGTCTGTACATAGGGCCACCTGCCTGTACATAGGGCCACCTGTCTGTACACAGGGCCACCTGTCTGTACATAGGGCCACCTGTCTGTACATAGGGCCACCTGTCTGTACATAGGGCCACCTGTCTGTACATAGGGCCACCTGTCTGTACA